TACCCCCTTTCCCACCCTCCAACCAGGAAAAAGGTAAGGAAAAGAAAAACTCAGAAACCTGAAGATTGTTTGGAATTTATTCTCTTAAATAAGAATGATAACATTTGTTAAAAAAAATTAAAAGCACAACACCTTAGTTTCACAGAAACCACAAAAACGAAGTTACATAATGAAATAAAAAAACTCACAAAGAAACACACCAAAAACTCACAACAGCACAGGTTAAAAACAAGGGCTACGGAGGCCAGAGATGGAAAGGGGGTGGGCTCCTGGGCAAAGCTCATCCTCCCTTGGTCAGGCTTCTTTGTACCATTGCTGTGAGAACCCTGCCTGCTGCCTACCTTCGCACCCTTTTCTCTACCCTGAGCTGAATGGCGGTGGAAAAGGGTACCCATTAATTTACTGGTCATGTGTTCAAGGCTACTCTGGGCCCCTTTTAGGAGGGACTAAAAATGTTCCACTGTCCTACAGAGATACACTGAACACCAAGAGACAGCAGCAAGCTGCAATGACTAGCCCAGTGGAACAAGTAGCTAAGCCTGAAAGCAAAACAGAAGCTAGGTGGGGTGTTGGTTCTCTGTGGCATCTCACCAGCAACAGAACCCAGGCTTTCCTAGTTTGCTCTTGAATCAATTTCCTGAGGCTGGGAGTGTGTACTTCCCATTTTCTGAGCTATAGGTATACTGGCTACTCTGTCCCCTGCCAGTCTGACCAGAGCACTGAGCAGGCCAATGGCATGGCTCTCAAAGTACAATCCCTTGGTTTCCAGAACCAAGGAATAGGAAGGTTTAGAAACAGCTTCATCATTATTGTTATTATTTAGGTTACAATTATCTAAATATCTATTCATATATTTGAAGTTAAACCTATAAAAATAGATAAGTGTATGTAAATAAATATTCACACATTACCATTAACTATGACTCTTGGGGCCAGGGTTGGGGTGTTAAGCTAGATTGCAAAATCTCTTTGCTCTACTAATAGGTTTTCCAAAAATGCCCCTAAGGGATTTATAGGGGAAGCAGTGAGATTTCCTAACTTCCTCCTGCCAGACAGGAGCCCCAGGACTGAACAGAATTCCTTGTACAAGCATGGCCAATCTAGCTGGTGTGCAAAGAAATGCCTGCATTTCCTAATGCTCATTCAGCATCCGCACTATGAAATCTAATGGCTTATGCAAGGGGTATCTGGGGACTGGGAGAAGGCACCTGCCATGTGTTGCTCTGCTAGGTACCTTTTTAAGTTAAGATCACCTTTCCATAAGATAAGAGATAACTAAAGGGTTTCTTCCATTCCATCTCTGTTGCCTGTACTAGAAGAAAAGCTCTTCGGTTTCTTGTTATGACACCCCACAATTTTTATGCTTTATTTTTGGTTATGGAATACATGAGATATAACTTTTCCTGAAGTCAGGGTGTGTACTCTGAGGAAAGGAATATCTGTGCCAGGTCCACTAATCTGTAGCAGTTAAGAATAAGAAGGTTGGAAACAAAACAGATTTGAGAACAGAAAAGAGGGTTGTTGTTTTTTTTTGTATTAAAAGTACATAACAAAAATACTGTGAACAATGTCCTCCAAATATTAAATCAGGTAGCAGTTACAGACTAGGTTACCAGAGAAAGACAACACTGTAGGGCAGACCTACAGTAGGGTCTTTTAACTTGTGGGTTGTGTTTTTTTTGGCAACAGTAATTTTGGCATGAGGGGAAAAGAACATAAGGGAGCGGAGACAAATGACACAAAATAAAGAGGAAGCACAAAGCAAAAGCAAAAGCACAGCAGGGTCATGTTCCAGCTATAGTCATAGCTTTTCTGGCTCTGACCCCTGGGGATATGAGTCTAGGACAGTGGTCGGCAAACTGCGGCTCGAGAGCCACATGCGGCTCTTTGGCCCCTTGATTGAGGCTCTTCCACAAAATACCGACTTCTGCGCATGGGGTCAGGAAGTTTTCCATCGCACTGTACATGCAGCACCCCGCACGTGGTATTCTTGGGAAAGAGCACGTCTTCCAGGGGCCAAAGAGCCGCATGTGGCTCGGGAGCAGGAGTTTGCCGACCACTGGTCTAGGAGGATGGTTTATTTGTACATGGCAAAATCAAGTTCATTCACTTACAGCCTTTTCTTGTTTAGAGTACAGCAGAGAAGATTTGCCATAGATCTGGGTTAATGACTGCTACCTATGACACACATTTGATACCGCTGAAGCACCTGAGTTTTTCTGAAGCGTTTCAAAAGGAAATTCTAGTTAACCAATCAATGCTTAATTTGGGATATAAAGAAGGAAATCCCTATCAAAGGAGAGAAAAAAAGTCTCTTTCATGGCAACTATAAAAGACCACCCATGGTTTTGCTCCTTTTCTACAGAGGCTAGCAAAATTAGGCACCTCATAGGGGAAGGCTGCTGCTTTGGAACATGTTCAGACTCAGAGCTGTGATTTCCAAAAGCTCATGTCTCCAGAGGCAGATACTAACTGCATCTCATCAGCACTCATCAGCACTAAGTCCTGGCCTTCTTACCACCTAGAGCAGTGATGGCGAACCTTTTGAGCTTGGCGTGTCAGCATTTTGAAAAACCCTAACTTAACTCTGGTGCCGTGTCACATATAGAAATTTTTTGATATCTGCAACCATAGTAAAACAAAGACTTTACTTTTGCTATTTATTTTATATATTTAAATGCCATTTAACAAAGAAAAATCAACCAAAAAAATGAGTTCGTGTGTCACCTCTGACACGCGTGTCATAGGTTCGCCATCACTGACCTAGAGTGTCCCTTAAACCAGGGACAGTGCCTGCCTCGTTTCTTGGGATGCCACATCTTGAACCCCTTGTGCTGTAACAGGCAAGTTACCTTTAGAATCAAGAACCATGGGGACTGATTTTTTCCTCAGGGCTTTGATTCTTTAACCACATTGCCAACTCTACTTTTTTTTACTATCAAGACCTGGGGCGGGGGGGGGGGGGGGGAGAGGGGTAATTTACAAAGGGATTAAAGCGTTGATAATCGTTGTATTTTTTTTCAGGCTATATCGGACGCTCCTCCCAGTAGAACCCTATAATTTAATTCCCAGATCTGAGTTTTGTTAGTTTGTTTTCTGTAATAAAGGTGATATGAATCTTTTTTGTTTATGTTTTTTATAGCGATTTGATGAGATACGCGAGATCGGGGGGGGTTTCTCTTT